GCTCCTAGTAGCGATGCCAGGAGCCCCTAGTAGCGTCCTTGCTCCTAAGTTGCTTGCCTTGTTTGCCTTTAAGGCACTTATTCGATGCTGAAAACGATGCTTCACAGTGGCTTCGACACATACCGGTCCCACGGGCACTCCGGGCCAGTGCTGACCTCGCATTCGGAAGCCGTTTGAAAGTACATATCACTTTGACAACAGAAGAGGAACCACTTTCATTGTTGACAATTAAACCATTCTCTCTTTCTCTCTCTTTTATTTCTCTCTATCCCTCCGAGTCACAAGAGTGTGACACTTGCTGAGGTGCAGCAGTGTATCCACCAGTCTTGGGCGGTGAGCGTTCGGTGGGTGCATTTGCACACGTTTTGCACTGGAACTCGCTTCGATGGAATGCCTGGTGGCTCTTCACTCTGTGCAACAATGCACAGCCACGATGCTGCCAAGCTGACAAGAGAAAAAGACACAGCTTGAACAGCTTCAGAGATGTTTGCCATAGTTCATGCCGAGTAGATTTCTATGCAACTTAGGATGCAGCCAAAATTGCAAATTGGTGGTCGCGTTGATGCCACTGGACTGCATCCGCCAAGAAAGAGATTAGGCACGCACCCTCTGGCCTGACTAGTTTTTGCATCCATTGTGCAGCGCGTTTGATGCGGATACTACTCTTGCTCCTAGTAGCGTCCTTGCTCCTAGTAGCGATGCCAGGAGCCCCTAGTAGCTTCTTTCCTCTGTAGTTTTCTTGTTCTTTTTCTTGTCTCTTTGGAATCACAAGTCACAGAGATCTCCTTAGCTCAGGCTGAATCTCACCCGAACCATTTCATGAGAATTCACCTTGATGCTGTGAAGCTGCGCTCGGATAGAAGCGTACTTCCGCAGTAAAAGCTTGAGCAAGGAAAGGTTCAAGCATGCTTTAGTGGGCAGTGATAAAGCTGCATTATGCACGAGAATGTCGGTTGGTGCATTTGTCTAAGCAGCCCCACACATCACCACCTTGAATTGCCTTGTGGTACCACTGCAACCATTGTCACAAGCTGTTGCATGAGGCAAACAAGACATAATAGGACAACAATACCATCGTTTTGTTTACCCCAAATGCTGAGACAAGTCCATCCATCTGCCTGTCGTGCTGGGTTAATTCACTCGACAGCCACGTGATCGATCCAGACAAAGCCATGAGGGCAGGCTTCTGTTGCTTTATGTTGCTTCATTGTTCCTTTTATATAACTCTCTCCACACGTGGAGGGTTCAGGCCTCACACCCAAGGTGAAAACAGTTTTGCTCATTTCACCAGCTCCCGTCTTATATTTGAAGCCAAATCATGTAAAATCAAGAGAAGTCGGATCCTCCATCTGACGACACGTGGCTGCTATTTTCCTCGGACTGACCAGATTGGGCCACGGTTTGTGACCTTTTGGTTTTCATGACACAGACTGCTGTGTTGCTTGACGATGCAGTGTCTTTTTCGGTGAAAAAGGTCCAATCTGCGATGTTTAGATCATCCTGGCGGTCCACAAGTGGCGCAACTTCCCGAGGTTGAATGTCAACTTGTGTCTCAATGGGGGAAACAAGATTGGAGCGTGTCTTCCGAGCACGGAGTGACAACATCTCATTGCACTCCATGCTAGACGAAAGCTCCAGGCACACTGGCACAGGTCTGCCAGAGCACAAGTTTGTCGGCTGAAGGGAATGCCATCCAGCTGAAGCACAGCTCGAAATGATGGCATCTCACCCATCGGTAAAGACCTGATCATGTACAGCGAACGCGAGATGAAATGAAGTGAGGGATTGGATGGATGGAAGGCATGGGTCAAGGAACCATGGATCATGGACCATCATGGACCCATACGATAAGTCAGCAATTCACTTTGTGTCGGAAAGTAGCTTTAATACCCTCTGAAGGTTCTGCCAATGCCGTCATTCTGCTCTGCAGGATCACTCTTTTGCCATTGCGGCTTATGTCATCACCTCTTTCAGCATGGCCCTATTCCAAGATCCAAGCTGTATTTATCTTATCTCATTTCCTCGTTTTTTTGCTCGTCTTGTGGGATCTTGAATGAGGAAGTGAAAGGCTTGACTCGCAACTGAATTGTTCTGATGTTTCTTACTCTCCAAGATGACAGATAAATTGCTCCTGCTGTCTCATCTTTAGGTGACCTTGATCACCTTCTTGGTCATGAGGATTCGACGTCAAGGAGCGGCACTCAATTATGAGAAGTCACTCTGCTGGAACATGCTTAGGAGCAAACGCATGTAATTAGTGTTTCTTCCAGTCCTCCAATCTTGGGCTTGTAGTGAGGGCTTTAGCAATGGAGTATTGGAGACTTGTTGGCGAGGAACACCACCTTGCAGGTAGGTGAGTAGCGTCCTTGCTCCTAGTAGCGATGCCAGGAGCCCCTAGTAGCGTCCTTGCTCCTACATTGAACAATACTGAACCTTAAACCGAGATTCTTCGTAGCAGGCTTGCGGGATGTTTGTGCAGGCGTGTCCCACCTGGCGCCGGAAGATGCAGGAGACCCAGCACCTTTCAACAGAATAGCAGCTAGAAAGCATTCTTGCTTGTAAAGAAAGATGAAGGACAAAGGAAAGGTCAATGTGTCCAAAAGTCCAAAGAGAAAGGACAAGGAAAAGCAAAGAACGACAGGCCTTTTACAAGAAAGAAGTAATCAACAGCATCCTTCAAAGAAAGTATTCTTGTGTGTAGCGGGGTGCAAGTCAATACGTGACCATCTCTCACGCCTGACTGACCAGCTTTGAGCGACCCGAGGCACAATCTGACTTCCTAATGGAGGAGGCACGTGGAGCATTCCCGACACGTGTGACGTGATGAAACGCCCTCCGGTGAACTTCCCTTCTGCGTCGTCCTGTTCCGCCTTTCTCCCCTCAAAACTGCTTGACTCGAATCCTTGCTCCTAGTAGCGATGCCCTTTGCTCCTAGTAGTTTCTTGCTCCTAGTAGTAAGGCCAGGAGCCCCTAGTAGCTTCCTTTGCTCCTAGTAGCGATGCCCTTTGCTCCTATTCTACATTTTTCTAGGTTGGAGGCCATTGCTTTTCGGTGGGAGGCCATTGCTATTAGGTTGGAGGCCATCGCTCTTAGGTTAGTTACAATGGATGTCACAAGAATGTCTTTGAGCGTTTCAAGTATGATTTCACAGCTCGCATCAGGTCGAGGGGCAGATGGAATGAACGATGGCCTCGGAGACCCAATCCTTTAGGCCTGGAGCATTCTGTAGAATGAAAACATCGCTCGTTGGAAAGTTGCAGAGAGCAAAACGGAATTTGGACAAGAGACTAAACGAGGAGGGACCCTAGTAGCATCCTTGCTCCTAGTAGCGATGCCCTTTGCTCCTAGTAGCTTCTTGCTCCTAGTAGTAAGGCCAGGAGCCCCTAGTAGCGTCCTTGCTCCTAGACTAAACGAGTAGGGACAGTAGCTTGTGCTAACGACCTTCTTCGCTTATTTGCTCTGGAGGCACCATCGTCCGTAGACTCGGGGCTGAAGAGAGCGAGGCTCAAGTGACATCAAATTGAGGCTGTTTGAAGCTTTTTTCCGTTTGACTCTTTCAAACACAGATTTGCAGCACGGGACTATTCAAATAATTGCACACAGACAAGATCGTCGCTGTGTGAAAAGATCGTCGCTCTCTGAGCTGAATTAAATCCGTGGAGAATCCGTGGGTTTTTGGGTTTCACCAGTAGCTGGTAATCTCCGTGGCTGAAAAGCAACACGGAGAGGTGCTCGGGGCACTTGAAGTGCTTGGAGCCCTGTTCCATGTGGTCTCCAACTGGCCACAGGGTGTGCCCAATGTGTCAGAAGCACCAGGGGTGCGCCAAGACAATGTGACAAATGTGCCGTGCGCAAAGCGCTGGTGATCCACACCAGCGGCAGTAAAGTGACTTAGATGCCCCATAGGGTGTACGACTGGGTGAGAGTGCGGATCAGCAACCGCTTTCTTCATGAAAGGTACCGAGGAAGACACCAGTTCGTTGTCAAAGGATATCAACAGTTCGTTGTGAAGTTGCTGATACCAGCCTCTTCACCCAGAAATGCCAGCTTTCGCCTAAGCAGTGTGCTGGAGAGAAGTTGCAGGGACTCAAGTCTAAGCGAATCTTGTTTATAACAACTCTGACAACTCTGCAGTTTTGATATTTCCAATGGTTTTGCAATGTCTCGCCGACCGTGTATTGCCCGTTTTTCAACTCATGGACGCCTGAGCGGCCCTCCACAACCAGTGAGTTTCGCTCCAAAAAATGCCTGACAAGCATGCGCCAGCAGCTAAACACAGGATTTTGTTTGGAGTGCAGAGAACGACAAAAACGTTTCTTTCTATGTTCCTTTTCTGCTTTTCTTTACCAGGAACACGCTTCTCAACCACCTACCCTTGGTACCTGATCTGCATTTTCAAGTGTGCAGGTTCTGGACAAATGACTCCATCCATGTCACCGTTTCCTCCTCAGTGAGTCTCAGCAGCGTCCATAAATCCACCCACCAAAAATCGTCTTGCAGACTGCGGACACTTTAGTAGCGATGGGCTCCAACCTATTGAGAAGCTCAACTGACTCAACAGAGCTCTTTTGAGATTTGTTTGACTTTCTTCAAGCTCGTAAGCCATTGCTTCAAACCAACCCAAACCTGAGGTTCCAACGCACGGAGGTGGGCGACCGCAGTGACCAAGAAGAGTTGAATTCGGAAATAACTGCTAATATGCCGCCATGAACTTTCACTACTTGCAGTGCAAAGACTACTAGGAACAAGAAGCTACTAGGGGCTCCTGGCATCGCTACTAGGAGCAAGGACGCTACTAGGGGCTCCTGGCCTTACTATTAGGAGCATTTTCCTAGGTCTTTAGAATCCAAAAGCTCTGAAGTTTTGTTTTGGCAGACTCAACTACCAAAGTTGGAGCCAGAAGAGCCCAGGCACCGGTCAATGACCTTTGCTCAACAGGTGTGATTCATCAGAACGTAGCAGCCCCAGCCAAACTGTTTCTGCACAAGACGTTGCAAGAGTTTGATATTTGGCTCGTGGAGGCTGGCTCAAGGCCTCAGGAGCAGCGTTTTGCGTGTAGCTTCGACGCGAGCTCTGCGCAATGGTGCAGAAAGCGCTTAGCCTCAACAAACACAAGCAGTCCAAGGCCACACAGAAGCACAAGGCACCCAAAGTCTCTAAAGTTGACATCCTGAAGAAGAAAAAGAAGAAGGTTGTCTCTGACAGCGTCGGAGCAGCTGCAGCGACCTTCATCAAGAAGTGTGGGCAGAAGACGGAGGCAAATGTAGCTGCAAAGGCAGCAGTCGAAGGCAATGCCAACCTGGAATATGTCAAAGTAACTCCTCAACAGATTGCCAAGGCTGAAAAGAAGATTGGGCAGAGGCCAAACAAGAAGCAGAAAAGGAGATGAGGAGAACTGGCTCCACTTAGATTCTCTCAGGAGACTCTTTTGCGTTTCACCTTGCAAAAAAGGGCAAAGATTTGTTGACCTCGCACTGCACCTGCGCATGTTTGCCTTGTGTTCAGGGCCTCAATGGCCTCAATTTGCCAAGGTCTTCTACTTTGAAGGTCGGCAACGACGCCGGATCTACCAGGTTCCGCTACCAGTGCTACAGTGTGGCACGCTGTTGCGTGGCCTAAGTATTACTAGGCAGTTTGAAGAAAGGCTCACAAAAGGAAAAGACCGACAAAGAAAAGGGAAACAACATGAAACAACGATAACGCAATATGAAAAAGACATGTTGCCGGGTGGCTCAAGGCCGGAATATTGTCTTTCGAATGCTGAACGAGACAAACCGGGTCGCAGCGCAAAAACCAGACGAAACGGCAGGACCTCGAGCTTCATGCCTCGGTGCTGACCTTGATCCTCACACTGCTGCTCACACCGTTGGCTCCTCGCTCGTTGGCTCATCATCTCCGTCTTCGCTTTACGAGATGGAAAGAGATGGGAAGAGTGTGCTGAGGCGAGGTCGGCTGGATCCAAACCACTGTGATCCCTACCCCTCTCACAAGTCAGCATCCTCAGCTTTTCAGATCTTTGATTCTTTGGAAAGCATCCCTCATCCATCCTTCGGCATCTGATTTCATGGATTTCAGACCACCAAGGCATCGTCGCAACATTCCCTTCTTGCTGAGCAAGCACTTGAACCACAGTGCCAATAGGCCAAAGTCTGCATTTTGATTGGTAAAAAGAAGCAACTAGGAACAAAGGGCATCGCTACTAGGAGCAAGAAGCTACTAGTATCTCCTGGCCATACTACCAGTAACAAGAACGCTACTAGGAACAACGGGCATTGCTAGTAGTAACAAGGGGCATCGCTATTAGTAGCATTCTTGCTGCTAGTAACAAGAACTCTACTAGTAGTTCTTAGCGTTCAAGGCCCTCAGGTCATTGACATCTCAGGTAGTCTCAATCCGTAGACCTTTGGGCCTTTCGCTTTCCAGCTCAGCTATTGGCTCAAGCTGGCCTTGTGGCCATCTATTTGCTCAGACACACTGGCATGTTCAGAGAAGCTGTTTTGCATCCTGCCAAACATACCACTGGTATTGAAATTGGTTAAACTAATTCTTCACACGCTTTCGTTATTTGTTCTTCATGTTCTTTCGAAGGTTTCCTGGTTCTTTTTTTCTGTGTGGACAGATGCTGGCATGCTTGGCAGGTCGGCAGCATGTATGGCCTTCGTAGTATCAACAACATGTATTCGGAGCATGCGGGGAAGCGCCTTTGCCTCAGCAGTTGGCAGACCGTGAACCTATGCATGAGCTTTTTTTGATGACACCTATCCATGAGTCTTTTTGGCCGCTGAGAGGTAGTAGGCTTAATAAGCAAGCTTAAGCAAGCTAAGTAAGTAAGTAAGTAAGTAAGCAAGCAAGCAAGCAAGCAAGTAAGGAAGGAAGCAAGCAAGCAAGCAAGTAGCTACGGCTACAACGTATGGATGCAGGAAAGCTCAGGCTTCTTCAAGGAAGCTCCCCCCATCGCCCTGAGGGCGAAGGGGCGGAGCTTGTTTGAAGAAGCTGTCGCACTATTCGTTTTGATTTTTTTGGGAAACTTAACCAATAGCGTCCTTGCTCCTAGTAGTAAGGCCAGGAGCCCCTAGTAGCTTCTTGATACTACAGGTGAAACAATTTCCAAGGAAGCTTCTAGTTACTGGGAGTAAGCAGAATTGCCAGGTAGCGACTTCATCATTGTCGGCCACCCAGAGTTCCAGATGGGAAAGGCGCAGTCATTGGAAGAGTTCCTTGAAGCACAGCTCCATGAACAAAGGAAGGTAAGCCCATTTAACAAAGCCATTTGCTTTGACAAGTATATTATATTTGCAGTGCTTTTACAATAGTATTTGCTTTATATTCAATGTGCTTTTTGATGTGCTTCTTGGGAGGTGCACAGCCACACCAGAACTTTTCCGGCTTGGGATATGAGGCGACGGCGAGGACAGTCGGGCCGTAGGGGCACTGTCCTCTTTCTGTGCTAGGCCTATACCCAGCAAGCCAGGGAAAAGCCTTGCGAAGAATCGGTGCCCTGGCTTATCCTGGCTTCCAAAGACCATGTGCAAAATCCCACAGAAGGGGCCGTGCTTTCGCACGTGAAAGGCCTTTGCCTATGTTGGTGCGGCAGCTCAGTGTCGATGCCTTAACTGGTCTATTTTGGTTCCTTTTGTTTGTTCCTAGGGTCGGTTCGCAAGCGCAGAGCGAGGATCCAGGGCCGGTGGGAAATTTGAAAGCAAGAGCGCCGGGAGCTGAGAGCTTCAAAAACAACAAGCAGGCTTCTTGTTACTCGTATTCTTGTTACTAGTAGAAGGCCAGGAGCTACTAGTAGCGTCCTTGCTCCTAGTAGAAATGCCCTTTGCTACTAATAGCTTCTTGTTACTAGTAGCGATGGCCTCCAACCTAATAGCGATGGCCTCCACCTATATAGTAGGTTCTTGTTGCTAGCAAGCCCTTGAGATGTTTGCTGAATAAATTTTGAAAAGAATCGGTACACGGTATTCTGTACACTCACCATATGCTTAGGCTGCAGAAGCACGGCTCAAAGATAGAAGTGGCTCGTTAGAAGGATTTGGAACGAAGTGCGAACGCTTTGCAAGATTGCAGCTCAAAGTGAACTCCATTGGAAGCACTTCAACCTTTACAATTGTTTTTTGGACAAACTAATACATAAAGTTGTGCAATTCACAAGAACAACTATCGAGTGAGTTGATGTCGATGTGCTTAAAGGTTGGAGGCCATCGCTAGTAGGTTGGAGGCCATCGCTATTAGGTTGGAGGCCATTCCTATTAGGTTGGAGGCCATTCCTAT